AAAAAGAAAAACCTACTGATACAATAATGACTTGGATAACTCTTCAAAGTATTATGCTCAGTAAAAAAAGCCAATCCCAAAAGATTACATATTTACATAACATTCTTGAAATGAAAATGTATAGAAATGGAGCCCAAGAAAAACAAAGTTGGAGGAATCACAATACCAGATTTCAAGTTTTACTACAAAGCCACCGTAATCAAAACAGCCTTGTACTGGCACAAGAGGCATATAGATCAATGGAACAGAACAGAGAATCCAGAAATCAACCCAAGCCATTATGCTCAATTAATATTTGAAAAAGGAGGCCAGAGCATACAATGGAGTTAAGAGAGTCTATTCAATAAATGGTGTTGGGAAAATTGGACAGATATATGCAAATAAATGAAACTAGACCACCAACTTACACCATACACAAGAATAAACTCAAACATATTTGGCAATGATACATCTGGTAAAGGATTAACATCCAAATATGTAAGGAACTCATACAACTTAAAATTAAGACAAACAATCCAATTAAAAAATGGGCAAAGGACCTAAATAGACACTTCTCCAAAGAGGACATACAGATGGCCAAGAGACATTATGAAAAAATGCTCAATCACTGATCATCAGAGAGATGCACATTGAAATGATAATGAGATTATCACCTCACACCTGTCAGAATGGCTACCATCAACAAATCAACAAGTGCTGGCAAGGATGTGGAGAAAAGGGAACCCTAGTACACTACTGGTGGGAATGCAGACTGGTGCAATCAATATGGAAAACAGTATGGAGTTTCCTCAAAAAATTAAATATGGAACTGCCATTTGAACCAGTGATCCCACTTTTAGGAATATATCCTATGAAACCTGAAGCACCAATCAGAAAGAATGTACATAGTGGCACAATTTACAATAACTAAAATCTTGAAACAGCCCAAGTGCCCATCAGTAGATGAGTGGATAAAAAAGCTGTGGTACATTTATACCATGGAATACTATGCAGTAATAAAAAGGAAGAATCGCTTACACTTTGAGACATCATGGAAGGACCTAGAGAGTATCATGCTAAGTGAAATAAGTCAGTCAGAGAAAGACAAGTATCACATGATTGCACTCATACATTGAATCTAAGTAACAAAATAAACTGATAAACGGAGTGGATCCAGAGATATAGAAGCATGGAATAGACTGTGGATTCTCAGAGGGAATGTATGGGAAGGTGAGTGGGTGGGAAATGATCAACCAAAGAACTTGTATGCATACATGCATAAGCCATGGACACAGACAAGGGGGACATATGTAAGACTTTCAACAATAAAGAATTATAAAAATAAGTAAAATTTTATAAAAAGAAAAGGAAACAAAAAAAGAAATGGAGCCCAGATTAGTAGTTGCCAGGGGATAAGAGGGACTGAGAGCAGAAGAGAAGGAAGTAGGCTTGGCTATAAAAGGGCAGCATGAAGGATCCTTGTGGCGTGAAAATATTCTGTATTTTGACTGTATCATTGTCAATTTTCTGACTGATATTGTACTATGGGTTTATAAGATGTTTCTATTGGGAGAAACTGGGCAAAAGGTTCATGAGTTCTGTATTATTCCTTAAAACTGAATGTGATTCTACAGCTATCTCAAAATAATTTTTAAAAAAGATATATTTTTATTTATTTCAGAGAGAGGCAGGGAGAGGGAAAGAGAGATAGAAACATCAGTGATGAGAGAGAATCACTGATCGGCTGTCTCCTGCACTCCCCATACTGGGGATCGAGCCCACAACTCAAGCTGTGCCCTGACCGGAAACTGAACCGTGACCTCCTGGTTCATAGGTCAATGCTCAACCACTGACCCACACCAGCAGGACTCAAAATAATTTTTAATTAAAAAAAAAAAAGGATGGAAGACAAAGGAGTTAACCTTAACAAGGAGAAGATGCTTTTTGGGGGGAAAAGGGGGCAAAAAGAAGAGAGAATGGATTGACAGAGGCAGAGTATCCAAAAGGCAGAGGATCTTCTCTCTCAGCTCAAGTTCAGTGCTAACTGGGTTGGGAGAAATAAGAGTTATCAAAGAAAAGTTCAGATGGCAGAATTGGAAGCTTTAAAAGAATCAAGAAAACTTGGAATATTAAAGTCTGCAGGGATCATGATTAAGAATTAACAATAAAACAGCATTCCCTACTAGTCTTCCTGCATCTAAAGCACTATTCTTCACTTGCTAATTCATTACATGGGTGTTGATTCTGTTTTACCTATAAAGCTGCAAAGTTTTCACTAAAACATTATTTTTCTAAAGAATTCTATCACCACAATTTGCATGTCCTATGAAATTCTGCATAATGGAACTTCACTTGTAGAATTATAATGTAACAATAACAAGAGTAAAAATTAATATTATCTCTACCCTAAAGAAAAAGGGATAGTGATAATAATGGGTCCAAAATAAATAGGTTCAAAGAGAAAATGTCTTATGGTCACACAAAAATCAGTGACAAAAGTGGTTAGAATTCCAGACTTTCAACCATGGTAGTGATTACTACAATACTAATTTTTCCCTCTCACAGTCTCTTTTTCTTCCTCTAACGTGAATAAGGTGCCATTGCAAACTGAGGACTCCCATAACTGGCTAATGTAGCAAGCATTGTTTATTTCTTTTTGTTAACATTTTGAATCTTTTATAATACATCTCAGGAAGGCCTGTGGAGCTTCAATGTTCCAGAATACCTAAGTAGAAAAGTTGCATGTGAATTTTTCCAAAGCTGCACCAGCAAATCATTTTAAGAATTTATTGTCAAGGATGCCTGATAAAATTCAATCAGACAAATGTATCAGTTAATTAAAACATAACTGTAAAATTCAACAAATATTTCCTGAGAGGTTACACCCAGTCACTGTAGAGGTACCAAAAATATAGTAGTAATGAAAATGTATCTCCTGTTCTTGTCTATAGTAAGATCTTAAAAATGCTAAGGTGCAGACAAATACAAGGTCCCACATAGGAGCATGAGAAGTCAGCGATGCCAGTAAGAAGACAATGAGACAACCAAAGGGAAGTTATATATAAAGAGTCTTAAAGATAAGCAGGTATCAGCCAGTTGAGAAGTGGAGAGGAAAAAGTATAAGAGGTTGACACAAATATTTGCAGCCATTCATGTCAAAATACACTTAAATTATCTTAATAGGAAAGAAATCCTAAAGAGAATGAAGAGAAACTTTAGCAGGAACATCTGACAGCCAGTAGACAAGTGGTAACTGTCCTTGCAGATGAGGGAAAGCTAAAATCTAAGTTGGCTGTGTGGAAATCCAGAAGAGGTTGCTTAGTGCCAGTGAAACCAAGAGAAATGCATGAAATAGGGGTACAAGGCACCTCTCAAAGTAGACCTGTGGACAGGTGGTAAAACAAGAAGTTCACAGTTGAAATTCTGTGTAACAGAGTGATTAGAATTCCACATCTCCCCCCACCTCCCCCTAGACTCACAAAGACTATCCAGTCCCTTCCAGGTACCAGACTCAATGACAATAGGCATAGCAAGATGGGAGAAGTGATGTAGGAAATGAAAAAAATAATAGGAAGATTAAATAAAACTCTACTTTCTCAGAGTTATGGCACATTGCTTCCCCCTTGGCCACCAAAATGCTGACAGTTGGATTTATACGCTTCTCTAAGCAAGAGTCTGGGAAATCTTACATATATACCACCCTCCTCCTCCACCAGCCCCCAAATCTATAGGTAATTACAGTGGGAGATTTACCAGTGAAGTGACCTTACAAGATCCTCCTATATTGAAGTTCACAGTTTACAAGTACCACACGCATGTGATGAGCTTCCAATTAGCTGTTTAATCAAGATCACTACTGTTTTTAATTTTAAACCTCATTTGACTTTTTAAAAAATATGTCTTTATTGACTTTAGAGCAGCGGTTCTCAACCTGTGGGTCGCGACCCCTTTGGCGGTCGAACGACCCTTTCACAGGGTTCGCCTAAGACCATCCTGCATATAAGATATTTACATTACAATTCACAACAGTAGCAACATTACAGTTATGAAGTAGCAACGAAAATAATTTTATGGTTGGGGGGTCACAACATGAGGAACTGTTTTAAAGGGCCAGAAGGTTGAGAACCACTGCTTTAGAGAGAGAGGAAGGGAGAGATAGAAACATCGATGATTGGCTGCCTCCTGTAAGCTCCTTACTAGGGATGGAGCGCGGGCATGTGCCCTGACCAGTAATCCAACTGGAGAACACTTGGTGCATTGGACGAAACTCAACCTAATTGAGGCCACACCAGCCGGGCTCATTTGACTTTTTAAAAACTAAGTACTTTATCCCTAGCTGGTTTGGCTCAGTGGATAGAGCGTCAGCCTGGGGTTTGATTCCTGCCAAGGGCACATGCAGGAGGCAGCCAATCAATGATGTTTCTATCTCTCTCTTCCTCTCCCTTCCTCTCTGAAATCAATAAAGATATATTAAAACACACACACACAAAAAACCCTAAGTACTTTAATAAAAATTAAAATAAAAGACAATGGCAGGCCCAGCCAGTACTGTTCAGTGGGTGAGCGCTGACCCATGAACCAGGGGGTCATGGTTCCATTCCCAGTCAGGGCACATGTCCAGGTTGTAGGCTTGATCCCAGTGGGGACTGTGCAAGAGGCAGCTGATTGATGATTCTCCCTCATCAGTGATGTTTCTATCTCTCTCTCCCTCTCTCTGAAATCAATAAAAACATATTAATTTTTTAAAAAGAGACAATGGCAGGTATAGGTGGAATAGCAGTAAAAGTGAAGGAGTACCTAACCAAAGGATTTTACTTTTATAATTTTTATATACAAGACTAGAGGCCCGATGCACGAAAATTCGTGCAATAGGCTTTCTTTCCCCTGGCTGCGGGGACGGCTTCCTCCGGTCTAATTAGCATATTACCCTTTTATTATTATAGATAATTTTTAAAAAGTCACTCTCAATCCTAATAATAATGCATGCCAAAAGAGTACCTAAAAAGTAAAAAGTACTCAACCTGTATATCCATTAACATAGATGGCAACTCCACTAAAAATTGTAGATGAAGTTCCATCCTTCTGCATTTCAGCATCTGATCGAAACTGTTCCTCCAATTTCTGGACCTTGGCAGCCATATATCCACCCTAGAATTAAAGAAAAGGTAAACACTAATCACAAAAGTTATACTTTTACCCCCATACCCCTTTTCTTAAAGAAACTTCTATTTAAAAAGACTTTATTCTGTGCCAATGACCAAAGTATAATGATGACAAAGGTGTAATGCTAAACATGAACCAGAGCCAAGGCAATAAAACAGGCAGGTCAAAAGAGACTTTTCCCTCTTTTGACTCAATTTTTAATAATTCTTTAACATTTTTATAATAATAAGTTATTTCAAAATATCAGAAATAAACAAAAATAAGATATAAAATGTCAGAAATAATAAGTTTAATGCCACAAAATATTGTTATCTATAAAATCAAGCAAAAGTTACATCAAAGTTTAAATCAATTCAAATTTAACACGTGGTCAATAAGTGTATATTTTAAATGGGCTTCCACTACCTTCTGTATATAGAAAGCTTAAAAAAAACTTCATGTAAAATGAAGCAGCTTGAAAAAACAGTATAGTCCTCTATACATGTAGACAAGAATACAATAAAGAATTCGGTGGCTAAATTCTGGATCTAATCAATCTATGACAAATTCTCATTAGATAACAGGAACCTAAAAAAATATATAAAAACATTATTTTTCCTACAGACATTTACAAATCTAAAAAGCATGACTGAATTCAGCTACATTTCCCCCAAATATTTAAATAATTAAGCTTAATGATTTAAATTATCAATTAAGTTTTTATTGATTTATCTAGATCAATTAAGAGTATCAATTAGGTCTTTAAAAGAAAGCAGTAGGTATGCAGAAGTGGTACACATTTTTTTCAAAATGGAAATGACTTCATTGTTTTTGATTATTCAAATATTGAATGCTCACTGCCAATTTTTTAAATATAAAGAAGAAACTTTAAATTAGCTATGATCCCATTCATTGTTAACATTTTAGGATATTATTTTCAAAGTTTATATCTATGCCTCAGAGCATAGCAGCTTTACAAAAACAGAATCATATATATCAATATTCCTTTATAACACAACACCCTTTTAAGTCAAGACCATCTGCCAGTTTAAGAAATATAAAGCTAAATAATGGCTGCAGTGTTCCACTGTATAAAAATAATTTATTTAACCAATTCCCTATTCTTGGATAGCTAAGTTTTCCTGTTTCTCAGTATTATTAGCAATGCTGCAATAAAATTATCACACAATAAAATTGTGTGCACTATAACATTTATTTTCTCAGGATAAAATTCCTGCAAGTTTAGGGGTTCAAGTTGAGCTTTCTACACATTGTGAAAACTCAGAGTTGATATCTAAAGTGATTTATAATTTAGAAAATGGCTTAAATCACATTATAAGCTATAAAAAGAATGAAAAATACCTAGACAGTTCAATATAATTTTTATTCTTTTAAAACACACCCATTTTCCCCAGCCATCATTTTCAGCTCGCCTCCTCCATCCACCTCGTCTCATGGTGGAGTTTCTGTATTAGGGAGAAAAAATAAAATCAATCTTACAACATAATATACTAATTGATATTTTACTTCAGTATCAAGAAAAATAAAAAATTAAAATACAAATGTTTAATTCATAAAAGTTGAAAGTATAATACCAAGTGAAGAAACTTTTTCCAAATTTTCACAAGTGACATTTGTTCCTAAAAACACCCTCCTACAGGTGAGTATCAGGTTTTAATTACAGTACTTTAAATTTAAACAGGAAAATCTTTTAGACATTCCTGAGCAACAATCCCAACACCTACTTATGTAAAACATCACCAAATCTGACTAACATGGTCGTGATTACTTGTTAAGGATTAATCAGTGTTAACAGAACCTAAGAAAACACATTCCTTTATGAAATGACCTATAATATGGCTCTTAAACTCTGTCTTTGCTATTGCATACTGGGCACTTAAGAGTGCACTCACAGTGTAATTCATCTATTACGCAAAAAGCCCTTTAAAAAAATCAAGTAAAATAACACATCTACTAAGGCAGTGATTTTCAAGTGTGCCACACACAAAAGAAATTTTTTTAATCATCACCAGAGGACATGCTTAGAGAGGAAGGAAGAAAGGGAGGGAGGGGGATAGAGACAGACAGAGACAGAGACAGAGACAGAGAAGCATTGATAAGAGAAAGAAACCTCAATGGGTTGCCTTCCACACATGCCCTGACCAGGAATCAAACTGGCAACCTTTCAGTGCACCGGACAACGCTTCAGTTATTACTTCTCTCAAGATGAGGCCAACCAACTGAGCCACTCGTCAGGCCACAAGAATTTTTAAAACATGCAATACCTGACTATTTAGTCAGGGGCACTCACCTCTTTTCCCTTAGATTGTCAAATTAAAAAACGACAATGGCCAACACAATAGCTGTCTGGTGTGAATGAATCAAAGTTATACCTATTTTTTTGGTTACACTGGCAAAATATGTATTGTTTGGTATGCCATAGAATTTTGGTAATTAGTTTATGTGTGCCATGAGATGAAAAGGTTGAAAAGTGCTGATCTAGGGATTTGACGCAGAAAGATTACACTGATAAACTAGGAAATCTGGCATTTTCCTTAAGGCAACACTTGACCATCTGTACTATAAAATTACCAAAATGACCAAATGATAGCTTAGTGGCTAGCAACGTATAAAATGACTCCTAAGCCTGGCTGTTGTGGCTCAGTGGTTGAGCATCAACCCATGCACCAAGAGGTCACTGGTTCAATTCCCAGTCAGGGCACATGCCTGGGTTGCAGGCTGGATCCCCAGAAGAGGCCATGTAGGAGGCAGTCAATTGATGTTTCTCTCTTATCGATGTTTCTATCTCTCTCTCCCTCTTCCTTCCTCACCCTCTAAAATTCAATAAAAAACATTTTTAAAATATTTTAAAAAAATAAAATGACTTCTACATCAAAACATAAGGCTAACCCTAAATGGCTACATCTTGAGACATGACTGCATTATCCTTCATAAAATTAACATGATTTCCATTTAGGCATTTTTTTCTTCTAGTAACTATATGTAGGTTAATATCAAATGGTTCCCCTATGTTACTGGAGAAACCTTATACATTATCCCAGTCAAATCAGCTTTGATATGGTTTTTAAGGTTTTGTTATTGAGTAACATCTTGGAACATGACAGCATATATTTTCTTTCAAATATTTCTATTCCGGGTATATTGTGGGATGTAGTTTCTCCTTTCTGACATTTATGTTAATTATAAATTCTTACTGTCTACCTTTGAAGGGTGCCTAAAAGATGTGTGGAGATATGCTCAAAGAGTTAAGTCCAACAGAGCAACAAAGTGCAAAGTGATTAACCCTGATTAGGGGCTGCTGGTGCTGAGGGAGAAGAGTTTTGTTTTTTCAAGTTTGATAAAGGCAGGGGCATGGCTACCCAAGGTTCTTCATGAGTCTCAGAACTGCCATATTTGCTTTGCTGAATACTTGTTTTCACGAGGCTTACTTTGTCCAGTCCCTCAAGATTTTTCCCCTTATCTTAAAGGAGTCTTGGGAAATTTGTTAACACACAGTCCTTGACTTCATATAACCTGAATTCATATATCTGCTCTAACAAGTAAAGAGAGTTTGGGAGTTCTGGCTATTAGATTATGGATGCATACCCACAAAAAGCAAATGCAACAATCTGATAAATGAGGCAAATTTTAAAAATACAATATATTTTTAGTTTAATTCATTTGCCCAATCATTTAAGAGCCTCTTATTTAAGATGTATTATGTATCCACTGAGAAAGGCCAATATGAAAATCCTTACTGATGGGTTAATGAGGATAGACAAGTACGAAACAAAGCTGTAATAATAAAAAAAAAACCAACAAACACATTTTAAAGGTTCTTTACCCATTCCAGAGTAATATAACTATCCCAGACAAATGTTTAAAGCTTTGAAAAGTAAAAGAAATGAGAATAAAGGAATTAAAATTGTAATTTCATCATTTCCACTAATTTGACCCATGTACAGCAAACTCCTAGTGGTCCAGGATTCAAAGAATAAGAAAGACCCCAAAAAAGGGAAAAGGAAACAAGAAACATATTTCATTTTATACATTCAAATTCAACTTGAGAAAATTCCATAACAAATAGTAAACTAAACAATATGGACGAAACTTCCTGCTGAGGAAGAGGAAAGCTACACAAAACATGATTTAGCCATAATTTCTTCATATAGAACTTGTTTTTTCAAGTTTCATTGATTTTAAAAAATTGCCTCAAGGCATACAAGGTCCAGCAAATAATGAATTACTGGGCCAAGATTTAGAAGATGACAGAGAGGACACCTGCCATCTCATGTTACCTTTCCCCACACAAACTGGGACAGCTTTTCTCGCTAAGGGCATTTGGCAACTCTAGAAGAGTGGCTGAGAAGATGGACAATGTTTTTGAAAACAAAAATCACAGTATTAAGCGAACAGAAGTTGCAGTTCAAAGGTCTTCCAAGGATATAAATCTGCACACTTGGGATGAAGACCCTAAGAATAAGAGTAAGCTGAAAGTAGGCAGACCATACTTTGCAGAACATGTATCCTGCCACAGATTGTCTCTGAAAGCAAATTAAGGTTGATTTTGGATTGTTAGTGCCGGAGTATCTGGTGAAGCAAATGTAAATCCTCAGTGGAGAACATCCTAAACACCACATACTTGTACAATCTTGCAAATATAATGTCTGGCACACAAACAAAACTAACCAGGCACACAAGATCACATGAGTGAGAACCAACAGAAACAACAAAATAAACAGATCCACAGACACTTCAGATACTGAATTTAACAAAGACAAGTATCAGAATATGGGTAAAAAACTGGGAAGTATACAAAGTAGTAATTAAATGCTAACTCTAGAATTGAAACATACCAGAAGTAGATGGGCAAATTAATAAATAAAAGCAAATAAAGAACAGTTGAAAATAAGTAACAAGAAAAGATCCAGATAAAGGAGTAACAGACACAAAATGATAGAAAACATGGGAGGGAAAAAGATAAAAGATATTTAAGAAGGTCTAACAAGTAAATTTGGGAGGGAAAAAAATAAGAAAAACAAGTTCTATATGAAGAAATTATGGCTAAATCATTCTAAAACTGATTAAAGATATCAAGCCACAAATACGAGAAATCCAGGGGAAAAAAATAAAAATCTATATTTAGATATATAATAGAAGTATGGAAAACTAAACACAAAAAATATATACATTGAAAGCTGACATGAGTAGGGAGAACAGAGTGATTCCATTCAAAATACTCAAAAGAACAAATTAAACAGACAGCTATCTTTCCAATTGAAACTAAAATAGAGTTAGAAGACAACAGTTCTGGGGAGAAAAAATCATTAACTTAGAATTCTATACCCAGAAAAAAATCAGTTAAGAATAGAATAAAGGCATTTCAGGCAAATAAAACAGAAGCTAATGGCACTAGCAAACTTGCACTGAAGGAAACCCAAAAGGATATCCCTCAGGTGAAAGGTAAATTCTCTTACAGAAAAAGAAAGGGCAAACAGTAAATATCTGGATAAATCAATGTTAAACAATGACTGGATAAAAATACAATACTGGCAATCAGTTGTTTGTAGCATTAATATATAGCTTAAGTGAATCCAAAGATTATGAAAAAGAGGAACTGTTTCTAGTCAAGGCTCTGTCACTAACTGGTTTCACTGATCTCTGGGAAATCTTAATTTCTTGGGTCACAATTACTATCACCTGGGTCTCTTACTATAAGGTTAGAACAGTTGACTACTAGTTCTGTTAACTTAAAAAACAGGTAAACTAAGGAAAGCTCAAATTACCATAAACTGAGTTTATTTGGGAACTAGTGGCCTGGTGCACGAAATTCATGCACATTAAAAGGGAATTAATTAGAGGAAATATTTTAATATTGCTATTTGCCCTTTCTCTATAATACAAGTGTCAGAGATGAAAGAAAATTAGTAAAATATATATGACAACCTCCCTCCTGTCAGAGTTTGCGGCGTGCCGCAGGACCCAGAGTCAAGTCCCCACCCAACCGTGTGCGCCTCGAAATTGCGCAAGACCCAGACCCAGCCGGCCCCACCCCCGTCAAGCCCCGCTGGGCGGGGGGCGCAGCCTCAGGTCCCCCAGCCTGGTGCCGGGCGGGGGGCAGGGCCTCAGGTCCCCCAGCCCCGGCGCGAGGGCACGATGAACATTTGCATATTAGCTCTTTATTATATAGGATAGCAGAAGAATTGCATGCTGTAGCAAGGTACAGAAGAGCCTATTTGAGGGGTGAAGGGAGCTGTATTTATTGGCAAGGAGTGCAAAAAGGGGGAACTTCAGCTAAAGTCTATGCAAAAAGTTCACTGGCTGGAGAATGGGGAGGGCGTTCTGGCAGATATTCATTGGTTTTGGTCTTCTGTAAATCAGGCATTTACAGGAAATCAGTCTCTTGGTTCTGAAGTTCACACATGCATGAGATTCTCCATTTCAAATCCTCCTGTTCCATTTTAGATTGAAATCCTTTCACAGTTCTCTTTGG